CATTCTCCTTAGGGAAGAAATTATACAGTATTGTAAAGGGGGTGTAGTCTTATATGATACTCGGCTGATAGAGAAAATGGGACATAAAAACAAGAGGTGTGAATTCAGTGTAGCACAGCAGCAATAATTCCAGACTGAACTATCTTGGGAATTAACCAAAATCAAAATTTTATTTCATGTCTTATCACTTCAGAAACTATACTGCCAATATCATTTAATAGGAAAATCAGATGCACTATTTATTCATTTATTTAAATATTCTCATGATAACTTAAGTTCTAAATTGAAAGTAGTATAAGCTTAAAATATTATAGACATAAGTGATATACTAAGTGAAAGCCTAGTATATGGATATCTGGTTTTTGGCATTAGTTAATGTGGTTTTAATTGTTACGGTCACAGTGTCCAAATCACAAAAATATAAAACATTTTAAATAAGACCCCTACATCCAAAACGAAAAAAGTATTTTACTTCATTGTTAACTCTGGTGTAGCAGGTTCTGAATAGCACTCTCAATATGACATTATTTGTCAACATATGAAATTATTTAATATTTTTCAGGTTCTTCATTATAACTTGTTCATGCTCAGTAGTGAAATCAATGACATAACCATCAATGAAAACTAGATTTTGCAAGTTAATTTGATTCCATGTGGAATAATAATGATTACAAGTTAAGATTAAAAAAAATCAAATTCAATTGTACTTGTGACAGCATTATAAGATATATGATATTAAATTCTATTTGGTAATAATTTAATTTTATTAGTGCCTTTATGTTCCTGTGATGCACAGTCTATTAGATACTTGGGCAATTGTTTATCTACCTTTAAACATAGATATGTTTTGTTTACATGGTTCTGCTGTTCTAATACTTCATGCTTATTTAATGCTAATCTTGTGTATTGTTAAAAAGGTTTAAAAGTGAACCAGCTCTACCATTGAAATGCTATACCCCTACAGGAATGGGGGTTATGCATGGTCATTTTTAGAAAGTGAAAGAGCAATCAAGTGACACAGCTTTGTCCAAGCGGGTTCAGAGACTGTCATACTTTCTATTGTGAGTTACATTTTCTGAATTAAAGGCAAAAATCTACAGTTCCGCTTAATTAAAGCAGGGAAAGGCTGCATGAATGATGCATGCAGAGCAGATCCAGTGCATCATTTGAGACATATGAAATGGTGAAGATCAACCTACAAAACCTCTTAAAGTATTAGAGTCAAAAATTACAGGTCCTGGAGACTCATCCAACTCTGTCATATGATCTTCGGCATGCTTAAAGGTTCAGTACCCTTGTTCTCATAATAAAGGTTTATCTGTCCATGAGGACCTAGGCATTCCTGAAAGCACACCACTAGAACAGGATGAGAGGAAATGGACTCCACTTGTGCCAAGGGAAAATGCCATTGGGTATTAGGAAAAATTTCTTTACTTGAAAGGGTGATCATAGTGTGGAATCACTATCCCTGAAAGTATTCAAAAGACATCTAGATTTGGTGCCTGGGACATGGTTTAGTGGCAAAGATGCCAATGTTAGGTTAATGGTTGATTTTAAGTCTTTTCCAGCTGTACTGAATCTGTGATTCTATAGCTGTGTACCTCAATTCCTACCTTGCATCTTAATCTCAGGAGAATTTAAAATTTATTTAATGTAACCTGAAAAGAAGTCATGGACATCTATTATATCCTGTTCCCTAAAGTACAAAAATGAATACTAGTCACATTAAAAAAAAAAAAAAAAAAAAAAAAAAAATATTTTTTCCACAATTAGCTGTGGTAGAACAGCTAGCCATTGAAATATGCTTCATTGCTCCAAATTAAATGAATCTGAAGAAATTAAAATATTATCTAGGAAGATTTGACATTCATTAGTCACTTCAGAGAAATACTAATAAGTTGAAGAAGAGAGTTTTTACCTCTGGAGATCAAAAATGTGGATTCTATATATAAATCAGAATTATATATATTACATTTATGTTATATATAAGAATACATATGGTATATTTATAATATATATGAAATATTATATATATAAAACCTAATATATATTTGTTACTTTCTGCAATACTCATGCCCAAATAACATGAAATTTATATAAGTCCAGATGTTTAGACAAAGAGATTTGAGCTTATATGTTTTGTTTGAAAACTTTGATTCTACAATCAGTACAGAGGTTGGAATAAGTTCTCTTTAAGTATTTATGCAGAAAAAACAATTTAAGATGACCAAAAAAACCTTAATTAAATACAAAATTATTGTTCTGAAGGTAAAGCTCCTGCTTGGAATTTTATTCATGATAACTTAAGCTCTGTCAGTTCATGAAATGTGTTCCACCATCACGGTGCTACTCTATAGTATTAGGTCTTTGGATTAATCTGCTTTTGCAAAATGCGATGTTGATTCCTATTAAGAGGTAGAGTTATATTTTTTTTTCATAATGAGATTTAATGTCAGTTGAACCAGGCTTAATTAAACTTTGTCTTATAAATCATTTTATTGAGAAGTGCAATGAAGTCTTGTGAGTTTTATGACTTTTTAATTAAAATTAATTAAGCCAGCTTGTGGTTAAGTGCTTCCCTACAAACTAGTTCCCTTACATTTCCAAACTATTCTCAAATATTCTAGACACACAATTTAAACTTTATCAGGAGGCAATGGTTTAAAACCTCATTCCAGAAAACTCTACATTTTTAGGGATCTATTGGAATTTAATGTAGTAATTTTAAAAAGAGCTGAGTCATTTTTTGATCCAATTATCAATTATGTTAAGGTAGCTTAACAGAATGGTTAGTATAGGCCATGACCACATATACATCTTTGATTTTCTGTTGTGTCAGCATCCTATATATGTAGAGTTTAAAAGCAACTCATTGAAAGTTAAGTTGTACGTATCAAAGCATTCACATTTATAATATTAAGCATAATTTTCAACTTTGTCAAATTTATTCTATCTGCACTTATCTATTTTATCTGTAATTACACATTTCAAGGAACTTCTGTCTCATGATTTTGTCATGCCTATGTCTGCAACATGCATGTCTGCTGCTTTATATAAAATATAATAATTATAAATTAATAATAAATAAGAATTTTAAATAAAAATGTTTAAACAGTAAATTTCAAAAAGTATTAATTTGGAGAATTAAAATAAGTTTCCTTCTATTGAATTAGTCAGGGAAGGATAGCATGTGACATGCTAGAGCCAGAGTATAATTCTATTGTTGTTAAGTCTTGCACACTATTTTCTTGTATTTGTTATAATGTCTTCTATTTCAGTTTTGATGACCAGTCTGTCTTTCCCGTGGTTCAGACACAATCAAGCAATTACAGGCAGCACTGATTTGATTTTGATATGCTGAAAACTGAATTTAGAGGGTATAACAATGGAATTACCTACTTCCCTCAGTTTTGATGTTCTTTCATTTAAGTCCTTAACTGATGTTTTGTCATTCTTTCCCACTTTTCATCTTAAAAATTCTATCCAAAACAGCATAACAAAATTCATTATTATTTTTCATAAATTAGATGTTGCAACTTACTGTTCCCAATATTTCTTTTTGCATTTTCAGTTTACATAAAAATTTAGCTCAATTTTTTTTTTGTGCCTCCAGTCTTCAATTACTTCACTTTATATTTTTTATAAATTGAGAATATGAAAACACATTTACAATTTCTCCACAGAGATAAAGCACCCTAAAGTAGATATTTGGAGAAAAATATCTGTAGAATTGTGATTCTACTGTGTCCTGTTGTTGTAGAGTAGGTAGTTCAGGAAGTGCTTAAATCAGTCCTTAGGATTCAGACAACTAAATGCAACACTTTTTTGGGGGATTTGTTTGGTTGTTGTTTTTTGTTTGTTTTTTTCTTTTGTTTTGTTTATATGTTTTATGTAGTTTATAGGGAAGTTTTTTTAGGGTTTTTAGTTGTCCCTATTTTTATTTTTCTTGGTTCTGTCCAGGACAAAGTTAATTATTTTGCAGTAGCCAGGAGTGGGGCATAACTAGACACAGAGGTTAGTCTGTAAAACCATATGTCACTGCTGGGAGTGGGGGAAAAATGTCTGTTCCAAGGGGAAGGGGTTCTTTCTGGTCGAGTAAATGTGACAGAGGGATCCATCTGCTGTTGTCTCCTGGGGAGGGGGGGAGTGGGTGTGGGGGCTTTGGTTCTGTGTGAATCGCTTCCTTTCTTGTCTCTGTCATTACTATAGTTGCTGTTACTCTTTGTTTCCTTACCTCACTGCCTTTCCTGTAAATTGCTCCTATCTCAGCCAGTGACCTTTACTTTTTGTGCCTCCAATTTTCCTCTCTAGCCCACTGCAGTGTGGAAGGGTGAGAGGAAAAGCAGGAGAGCAAGAGAGTGTCAGTGGTTTGGAGAGTGGGGGCATTGAACTGGGGAGGACTGTTCCTAAACCACAACAGTACAATAGCTTTCAATACTGCAAGATCTTAATTGCTGTAAACTATTTGCATGATAAACTTTGTTCTGAACAAGGTCAAAAAAATAATCCTTAATTCATGGTGTTGATCTTCCCCTCAGCCTTGTCATATGTGTAGATGGAAATCTAGATATTCATAGTATAACTATATGACTGACAAGTTATTTAAGAAATAGCAAAAGAAAGACAGTGGAAATATCTAGAAAAATGTAGTATGAGCATGTAAAGATTTATAATATATTTAATGTACTCAATTACAACTGAGTTTATAAAAATTTCAAACAATAGCCTTTACTAATTCTGACAATTTTTAATTATGATATTATCATATAATCCTCATATTGTTTTTGAAATAATTTATATATGACTTGCAACTATAGCTGTTGAACTGTAGTAATTTATATTCTGTTTTTCTCATGAGCTACAAGGATATGGCAGAGCATACCCATATCTGGGTATGGCAGATATTGACTAATCCTATGGCTTATTAGCTGTAGTGGCTTTTTTTTTTTTTTTAATTTTCTTGCACTATTACTGAATCTGAAATACTTTTCTCTTCCCAGGAGAATATAATGGAAGTTATAAGAAATCAAGAATTTTTACTTCTACCTGCCGAAGAACTCCATAAACTTCTTGCCAGTGATGATGTGAATGTTCCTGATGAAGAGACCATTTTCCATGCCTTAATGATGTGGGTGAAATATGATATGCAGAGGCGATGCAGTGACCTAAGTATGCTGCTTGCTTATATCAGATTACCACTCCTTCCACCTCAGGTATTTTTAAAATTATTTAATCATCATCATAACAAGAATATCATTGTTGCTGTTTCCTTGTGAAAACTCTCATCAGTTTATGATCTGTAACTTCTGAATACTCTGCATGTTTAAAAGCAAACCTGTTCAGAATCAGAAAAAATGGTTGTAACCTTTGACCCAGAGTAATCTCAATAAACTTGAGAGTTGTATCAACACATTCACAAGAAGGGCAGAGTTGTGAAACTGAAGAGGAGTAGCTGCAGATTTCATAACATGCTAAGAAAAAACAGGCAGAATAGTAAATATTCTCAGAAAAGCTAACAAAATCGAAACAGAACCAACAAACCAACAACAAAAAAAAAACCCAAACACACAGGGTTTATGACAGATACCAGGCTGAGGATGAGTCAACAATGTGAATTAAGAAAACTCTGTATTGTTCTACAACACAAAAAATTGTCACCAGGCAGTATTTCCCATAATACCTGGTGCTGCTAAGGCTGCACCTACCTTATTGTTTCCAATTTTGTACTCCACGATTTGAAAGGCATAGGAACAAATTGGAGAAGGTTCAGGGGTGGGCTACCAAGATGGCATGTCTGGAAAGGAGAAGCAGAAGTGGGCTTGTTCAAACTAGTGAAAAGATGTGATGACCTAATAGCAACTTAAGACCTGAAGGTAGGGTCATGGAACCACATTCCTGAGCGGACCACAAAATGTAAGAAGAGACAAACACTCTAAATTGTAGCATGGACAATTCAGATTGGACATTAGCTTGGGGAGGAATCACTTGGAATGCAGTGTACAAATGCAGTAGTTTTTCCAAAGGTCAAGTGTGCTTCTTCATGGATGGTTTTCCTGAATTAGCTAGACAAGATCACTAAATGCAGTGTTGGCAGAAGCCCTGATTTGAATGAGCAGACCTAGCTGACCACTGGTGATCATTTGGATCTCCACTCCTATGAATGCTTCCATCAATCTGTGATTCAGTTCAGGCTTCAGGTCACTTTTTCCTTTTTTTTTTTTTTTTTCCTAGAGAACTAAGTGGCAATTCCTTTCTGTAATTCCATAAACTCAGTTCTCCTTTCAGTTAGTGTACTGGGCCTGTCTGGAGTAAACTGTCTTCATGACAGCTGATAATGTGCTGTGATTATTGATACAACAGAAGGTGAGAGTAACCCATCCTGTCAATAGATCCCTGGGTGCAGATCAGAGTGAAACAACGCCGAATGCCTGGTGTTTTTAGACATATACATGTAGGCTTTATTGTAGAACAATTTGGTCGCACAGAAAAACAGGTATATTGTTACAATATAAAAGCATAAAAATGTCACTTAAGAAAATGTTTAAGAAAGAAAAGGAAGGCAAAAGAGTAGAAAGACCTTACCACCCACAGGCCTCAAGACAAGACTTGTTTGGGGAAATTTTGATGTCTGTTGAAGTGATGGTCAGCATCTTGATCAAAGTGACAGTTTCAGACTATCACCAGGTGATGGAGGAAATCCCAGTGAAGTCCACAGCACACAAAAGCTATTTGGCTTATATTCCTTCAGGTAGGAAAACCCAGGTACCTCGCTTGGAGTGGAGAATTTCAACTAGATGATGTAATGTGGATCATGGGACACTTTGGGAGTCTATGACACCTTCTAAGATATAGCTGCCTCTTACATCAATGAATTTGAGTCCCTTGAGACCCATTATGGCCCATTATCAGAGACTGATACCTTCAGGCTATGCATGAATGTTCCAGTACCTCTCGGAAGGAGAGTTACCACAGCTGAGTCACTTGAGTAAGGACAAAGAGACATTATTGTGCCTTGAAGGATTTACCTCCGTCCTTACCTGGTTCAGCACCAGCTGTAGCCTGAGGTGTCAGGTGTGCTCTCCCACTGCACCTAGAAGGTTACTTTGCACTTCACCAGCTTGTCTCTGATTGTTTGAGTCACCAGCATTCCAGTCTCTCTTACAATGTCACTTCTGGGGTGCCCCCTCTATTTTAAGTTCCCCTCACAGTCCAAATTCTGGTTAGTAGACATATTTAGGGAGATGTGGGTTTTGTTGGTTGCTGATGAAGAGCTGGATATTTGCAGTTTTCTGCAGTGGGCAAAAGTCCTCTGATGATTTTAGCAATATTTAAGCCATTAACCATTTCAGTCTCTTACACAGTGGTGGTAACACACATTTTCGCTATTGCTGAGCTGCATTTATATAGCAAGAAGGTAGATGACTAGGAAGTTTGGTACATAGAAAGAAAAATGTTTAGAAACTGTTTATAAAGAACTTTAGAAATAATGTTTTGTAGTATACCGGCAATTCTCTTGAACTTTCTGTTCTATTTAATTTGGAAATTAAGTCTTTTACACTGGTGCTGGTCTGTAATTGAGAACTGCATCATAAATGTATCAACTATAATGCTAAAAAAGCAAGGTCTTTTTCAAAATTAGAATTAAGATACAACAGAATTTCAACAAAAAATATTGAGAACTGAAAGTGAAATTTTACTTTTTATTACCAAAAGTTGTTTTTTTTTTTTTCCTGCTATGGTTTATACTTAAATATGTATCAAATAAAACTCTCTGTCATTTTCATTGCACTGAAAATTAACTGAAGAGTGCTCTGGAAAGAAGCCAGGTCAAAATTTACAGCTCATCATTGAATCTTTGAAAAAATAACCCAACTATTTACTTTCCTTACTTTTAAATTCACTTGAAAAAAGGAAGTCAAAGACTACAAAAATTATTATCAGACTGGAAAGATTATACTGAGATCCACCTAAAATGAAGGTTTAAATTCAGAGTCTGAGTTTCCATGATACCTCATTTCACTCTCAAGGTACAGCAATTATTTTGGCAATGTAGTTGGACTTAAATAGTACAATATCAAACAATGTGGTTCATAATCCAGTAGATACATTTAGGAGAAGGTGAGCCAGTATTAACCTGTTAAAAGGAAACTATCATGAAGCTGAAATTAAATAACAGAACCTGCAATGTTGCCATAGGAACTTTGTTTGCTTCTTTGATTTGCCTGGAGCCATCTTCTAAACTAAAATGGTTCATATTTCTTCATTCAAGTCAAAAAAGAAAGACTGGTGGCTTGGCCAACATAAGAACTTATTTCATGTTATAATAGGTAATAAAATAGGTAATAGGCAATATTAAATAATAGATAATAAAATAAAAATAACACCTTTCTGTAGGTGTTCCAGATATTTTATGTTGATCCATACTGAAAACATAATTCATGCATATTTTTGTTCTTAAGGGATTTGGGGAGAGTAAAAATTTGGTGGCATCCTTCAGCCTTGTTAATGTTTAAGTATTTTAGATTATTTATTTGTATAGTTAATTTACAATTGTTAATTGTTTATGTATGAAATACTTGCCCAGTGACTTTTGATAGCATTCTTTACAGAGAGTACGTTAACAAACAAGTTAAGAAACAAGCAAATACTGTATTTAAGAGGACCTTTTGTCAGTTTTTCAAAAAGTATAAGAAACTACTTTTGTGGCTGAATGGTGCCACTGCTGTCCTCAATTTTCAGTTTTTGATTGCATTTTAAATAAATCCCTTTCAACGTTTTAAAAAACCTAACAAAATTAGGTTAAAACTGTAAAACAATACAGAAACACTACAGATAGTTTATATACAGGTGTGTGTGTGTCTGTGTATGTATTTTTTTTACATGATATGATAAACATATACCAAATCACAGAATCAAAATGACAGAATGCCTGAGGTTGGAAGGGACCTCTGAATAACCTCTGGTCCAGCACTTCTGCTCAAGCAGAGATAACTGAGAGCCATTTGCACAGGACTCTGTCTAAAGAGTTTTTAAATAATTCCAAGGATTCTGCCAGTGCTTAGCCACCCTAACAGTATTAAAGTGTTTCCTGATGTTCAGAGGAAACCTCCTGTGTTTCAGTTTGCGCCCACTGACTCTCATCCTGTGGGCACCACTGAAGAAACCTGGATCTCTCCTTTATGCACCTTCTCTTCAGGTATTTATGAACATTAGTAAGATTTCCCAAAGGCTCCTCTTTTCTGGGATAAGCTGACCCAGCTCTCTCAGACTTCCCTCAGAGGAGTGGTGCTCCAGTCCCTTCATCATCTTTGTGAGCCTCCATTGTGTTCTCTACAGTATGTTCATATCTCTCTTGTACTGAGGAGTCTAGAATTGGACACAGCTCTTCTTGTTTGACCTCTCCAGTGCTGACACAAGGGGAAGAACCACTCTCCTTGACTTACTGACAATACTTTGTCTAATGCAACTCCAGATATCACCTACATTCTTTGAGGCAAGGGCACAGTGCTGTCTCCTGTTCTGCCAAGCTGCTTTCTGACTGGATGGCCCACAGCATCTATTAGTCCATGAATGTACATGACACATACACATATGCATGGCCATAAAAATATACATAGGAATCTATTTAATTATTTTATACTAGAATGTAGTTAGGAAACCTTTTCTTAGAAGTGAAAAATGATAGTTATGGAAAGATATATCCAATAAAGTATGATCAGAACAGTTGAAGGCGTTCTTACCTAGTTCCCTGATGACAGGTGATATAGTGATTGCTGTTCCCACCCATCAGGGAGCAAAGTGGTTCATCTAAATCCTCAATAATTTTGTATAGACAAAAGTCTAGCCTCATCTGCAGCTGAAGCTGAAACATTAACTTCTGGCCATGAAGGCAAATGACATAAAAGAGATTATATCTATGCCACTGAATTCTCCTTTTCTTTGTTTCTACCTTTCCCAAAAGACCATAGTTTATCCCATGTTTGTATCTCCTGTTCCCTGACTCAAGCTGTACCATGAAACATTCAATGCAGTGCAGCAGCATAGTTGAGGTTCTGCCTATTTTGATTACTAATGGCGTAATCTCATTTACTAAGATGAAAAGCTGATTTCTGCTATTTGTTGGTACACAGTGTAAAGTATCTGTTAATGTTGATGCTACAGCATAAGCCAAGAATGTATGCAGCTTCTGTTGGGCAAAACATTATTTTTATGG